GCTTGCCTATCATGTGCAAGATGATTGAAAAAAAATTAAAACACATTAATTACAAGAAGACCTGAAATAGAGCGAATATATTCCAGATCAGATGGGGAGAAAAATGTAGAATTAGGATGCAGTATGACAGCCCCTGGTGCTGATCAGGTTGATGGAGACAGCTCATTTAGCTCCATAGCCAATCCCAGTACCCTTCAGTCCTTTCACATGTAAAAGCTGGAAGGTTAGAACTACATTTTCTAGGCAACTTTGCAGCTGGAATTCTGGGCACAATTTTGTTTCTTCCCTTTTTTTCCCCCCCAAGATCAGTAAATAGATACATTGGAAAGATGGCTCAGTGATTAAAAGTGCTTGTTGCTCTTCTTTCGAGGACCTGAGTCCAATTTGCAGCACTTACAGTCAGGCAGTTGAGCTTCAAGGGATCCAGTGTCCCTTTCTGGCCTCCATGGGAATCTGCTGTGTGCATATGGGCACACACACATAAGCAAATAAAATATTAAAAAAAGAAACGCTTGCTGAATGGGAGCGAAGTGAGTTTGTGCATTGTTTCTGCTGGGGAGGGCTATGGTGGTGGTTTCTCACCATGACCACTGAGTAGTGGCTCCCTTACGGTGGGATTCCATTCTAGGACCACCAGTGGCTGTATGAACTACTGAGGCCTCTGCGTATGATTTCCCTCAGTCATTGGTATCACAGGTCTTAGCCATCTAAACACACTCTCCCCAAGAGCATTTGCCTTTTCATGTTAAAAGGGAAAAAAAAGTAAGACACTTTACAACTTCATTTTGGCATATCTGAATTGCCAGCAGGCTGGGCCTTTTTCTTTTAAACTGTCCCCTACCCAGGAACAGGGTCTTATGTAGTCCAGGCAGCTCTCAAACTGGCCTGGTATCTGAGGTTGGTCTTGAACTCCTGATCCTTCTGCCTCTACCTCCCAAATGCTGAGATTATAGATGTGTGCCACCATGACCAGCCAGGGCTCTTTTCCCTCAAGATTCATCTTTACATTATGTGCCTGGGTGTGTACATGTGAGTGCAGATGCCTGACAAGACAGGAAGCTTCTGATCGCCCTTGTGCTGGAGTTATTGCCAATTTCCAGCCACCTGACTTGGGTCCTCTACAGGAGCAGTACAAGTTCTTAACCACTGAGCCATCTCTGCAGTCCCTAGGGATCTATTCGTAAGGTTTCACTGTATTTATGGTGCCCATACAGAGATTAGAGACCACCTTCTAGGAGTCAGTCAGTTCTCCAGTTAAGCTTGCACAGAAAGAGCTTTTATCCACTGATTCATTCTTGTAGGTGCCCCTCGAGGGCTTCTTTATTAGTATTTTTACATTGTTTGCTTCTGTGTGCATATGCACACTCCATGACACCTGTATGAAGGTCAGAGGACAACTTGCAAGAGGTGATTCTATTTCTATCATGTGGATCCTGGGGATCAAACTCAAATTGTTAGGTCTGGTGGTAAGTGTCTGCATTCTCTGAGCCACCTTGCTGGCCCCCAGCTGGGGCTTTTTATTAGATAAAATAAAGGTGAACAAAGCATTTCATGGCAGTTCATCTTCCATCTGAGACCATACTAAGCAACCAAGCAGGTGGGTGATATATACACCATGGACATGCTGGGCAGGTGGTCTATACCGATGTATAGACATACTGGTCAGTGTTCTATACAGCACAGACATTCTTGCTGGGCAGGTGGATACCTCCCATCCATTTGTGAGATGACACAAATTTTCATTGTGCTACTCAGATTGGCAAGCAATGTAAAACTCATGAATTATTAATTTTTGGAATGTCCCACTTAATATTTTTAGACTATGGTTGTTGGAGTGTAATTGAAACCTTGGAAAATGAAACTATGGGTAGGGAGTATGCTTCCTTGTGTGTTTTCAGAGCTGCGAAGTGTAGCTAAGTGTAGTGACAGCTTTCCCATCTGGTTGGTGGCTTCCTATTTCAGAAGTAATGGTTCCTTTGCTGGCTCATTTTTGCAGCCAGGCCCTCAACACCAGAGTCTGTATCAATCTTCCAAATAGGTTTTTAAGCAATTCCTTTATTACTTGAACTAGCTAGCATGGATTTTTAGTTTAACTGGTTTTGTTTGTTATTAAGATGGTGGAGAAGGGGGCCTGACTCACTATGTGGACCTGGCTAGCCTTGAACTCATAGAGCTCTACCTGCCTGTGCCTCCCGAGTGCTGGGATTAAAAGTATGTGCCATTTCCCCTTCACCTGTTTATGTATATACTTGTTTTGAAGACAAGGTCTCAGTATACAGCCTGGGCTGGCCTAAAACTCAATATGTACATCAGGCTGGCCTCTAACTCATAGATATCTTCTTGCCTGTGCTTCCTAAGTGGTTCAATTAAATGTGTGTGCCACCATGCCAGGCTTTTTTTTTTTTTAAGATTTATTTTGATTATATTTAATTATGTGTTTATGTGTCTCTGTGTGGGCATGTATACATGAGTGCAGGTGCCTGTGGAAGCCAAAGATGTTAGATCTCCTGGAAAGGGAGTTTCAGGAGGCTGTGAACACCCAATTTTCTGGGTGCCAACGGGTCCTCTGAAAGAGTTACAAATGCTCTTACCCACTGAACCATTTCTCCAGCCTGCCTGCAGTTGCAGCCTAGAATGACCTCTAACCTATAGTCCTCCTGCTCCACCTTCCAAGGGCTGGGATCTCAGGTGTATGACACTATGGCCAGCTGGCTTCTGTTAGTTGAAACTGAACTCAGTGTGACACAAAGGCAGAGAATAACATGTAAAGAAAAGCATGGGTGAGGCCAGAGGCTTGACTCAGTGATTAGGAGTATTTACTGTTTTTTTGCAGAAGGCCAGGGTTCAGTTCCCAGCACCCACCTGGCAACTCATGATCAACCATCTGTAACTCCAGTTCCAGGAGATCTGATGCTCTCTTCCAAGCATTCCTACACACACATCCTGCACATAAACTCATGCAAATGCACACATTTACATAAAAATGAAGACATCAACCTGAGTTAGATGAATGGGCCCCACACAGTAGAACTAATTGCCACAAAGTCAACTTGGCACATGTGAACACACATGTACAATAAATAAATAAATAAAAATAAACACACCTCAAAAACATCTCAGAAAATAAGTTGCATGTCTTGTCTATAATTTTGTTTTTGTGACAAGGTCTCATATAATCCAGGCTGGCTTCAGTCTCACGTTGTAGCCAAGGGTGACTTTGAACTCCCGATCTTCCTGCCTCTGCCTCTCACTGCTGGAATTACAGACATGAGCCATAATACCCAGCCTCATTTTTATACAAATCTAAAATATAAGACTTCATATTCCACATATTGTCACTGGATTAATAGATCATACATGATAAAAGTATAAAACATGGACAGTATATATTAATCAGTGTATATTAATTTTGAAAAATATGAACATAGTTACATTTTATGGAGACAATGAAGAATGAGGGTGGGTTTTTTTTCTTTTATAAACTCCAAGCATATGAAGCAAAATGACTTAAATGACTTTTTAAAAGTATGTGTGTGTGTGTGTGTGTGTGTGTGTGTGCGTGCGTGCGCCGCGCGCGCGCGTGCATGCACGAGTGCTCAGGTGTGTGCTTGCACAGTCTGAACGTAGATGTTGAAGAACAATTTCAGAACTCAGTTCTGTCCTTCCATACGGGTGGCTTTTAGGGATCAAACTCGGGTCATCAAGCTTTTATTAACTGAGTCATTTAGCTGGTCCCAAAACGACTTTTAAATTTTATTTGCAGTCCTGGAATGAAACCAAAGCTAGGGCTTGTCACACACGCGCTACAGCTGAACACCATTCCTAGGCCCTGCAAAAATGTTTTGATGGTTTAATCATGAGGTGCGTGGGTGTTAATAATGTTATTTTCTGTACTTTTCTGCATGTCTCTAATACATCCTAATTTATAAAACACAGATGCGCTCAACACTCTCCAGGACATCTTAGTATACAATTATGTTGGAAGCGGCTTCTGGCTAGAAAGGGGGAAGCCTGATTAGGCAACTGGCTGTTTTAAAGTGTCGAAATTGAGGGGGCTGGAGAGATGGCTCAGCTTTCAAGACAGTGATTCTCAACCTGTGTGTTGAGACCCCTGTGAGGTTGAGGGACCCTTTCACAGGGGTCACGTATCAGACATTTACATTATAACACATAACAGTAACAAAATTACAGTTATAAAGTAGCAATGAAAATAATGTTATGGTCGGGGGTCACCACAACACGAGGAACTGTGTTAAAGAGTCGAAACATTAGGAAGGTTCTATACCTTCCGACTTTGGTTCCCAGTGCAAGGGACATCTCTGATCTCCGTGGGCACCTGCATACACGTGTACATATTCATACACTTGCATAAAGTTAAAACGAATCTTAAAAAAAAAAAAAAAAAAAGAGTTGCACCTTCTGAAGTTGGGCTTTTGAAGACACCACAGGGCCACTTGCAAAGAATGGGGGCTGGTACTCCGGTTGTGAAGTGGAGTAAAACAGGAGAGAGGGTTAGAAACAGATCCAGGCTTAAGCTGATTTGGTGGTGGTGGTGGTAATGATGACCTCAGAACGCCACCAGGAAACTAAACCGGAATGGGTAGGAGGAGGCAGCTGTTAGGCTCCAGGCCGGCCCAATGAGGTCCCCAGGTACACTCTGTGGTAAATTCCTCAAAGTGAGTTCGATCAGGTTGCACCCGCTAAACTCAATTACGCTCGCTTGAAGAGGGTAGGTGTATTGGCACAACCCTGTCCCCTCTGAGTCACCTAAATGCAAAGACCATCCCGAAGCTGGAGGTGTGGGCAGTGGTACCCAGCGGCTCCCACACGTTGGCGCGGTTCAGCCGTGCTGCCGGGACGTAGGTGTGAGGGGGTCAGCAGCCTGGGGTAGTGGGCTGAGCGCTCGGTCCGGGCGCGGGAGGCCGGGCTTCGGGGCCGGGAGGCTCGGCAGGCGGCGCCGAGGGCGGGGCCGGCGCGTGGGGGCGGACCTCGGCGCGCTCCCGGCCGCTCGCTGGCTCCGGGGCCGCGGCGGCTCCTCTGCCGGGTCGCGCCGGAGGACAGGCTTCGGGCGGCGGCTTGGACGGCCTGCGGACCGAGCGGGTGGGCCGAGCCGCGGTGCCCCGCGCCTGCCGTCTGCCCTGCCCGCTCGCGCGGGGCGCGCACCATGGCCGCCTCGCCGGGCTCGGGCAGCGCCAACCCGCGGAAGTTCAGCGAGAAGATCGCGCTGCACACGCAGCGGCAGGCCGAGGAGACGCGGGCCTTCGAGCAGCTCATGACCGACCTCACCCTGTCGCGGGTGAGGGCCGGGGCCGGCGCGGGCGGTGCGGGCGGGCCCGCGAGGCGGGGGAGAGGTCGCCGGCCGCGGCGGCGGCGGCGGGGCGGGCGGGGGCAGCGGCGGCGAGCGGGGCCGGGGCGGCTGCGGCCTCGGTTCTGGGCGGTCTGGCGACACCGAGTGCGGCTCGCGATCTCGGTGGAGGTGCGAGGGTCGCCGGGCCTCCGGTGCGGGAAGCTGGAAACCGCCGCGCCGCGGGAGGCGGGCAGCGGGGCCGGGCGGCCTAAGCGGGAAGATGAGCCCGAGAGGAAATCGCACGCAGCTCCGAGGCGGGACCGAGACGCGCCTGGTTCGGGCGGTGCGGCTTCTCGGAGCCCTGGACACCCACCGCCAGCGAGTCCTCGACTGTCGGCCTGGAAGGCCTTGGGGACCCGGGGGTCGCACATCCTCCCCGGGGGAACGCTCGCTGCACGCACAAGTGAATGGACGGCCGGCTCCTGAGAGTGGCGGGGGGCCTTGGTACCACGATGTGATTCCGTGACGAGTTAGTTTGTGGCTTTCCCCCTTTCGCCTCTTGGAGGTGCTTTACGTGGTCCGGCGTATTTGTACAACATCAGTTATTAGTGGAACCGACGGGGTGCGGAGCGTAGACGGTGACTGAGGAGGGCCCCAGAGGAAAGAGTAAGGAGCGAGTGGGGACCAACGCCTGGGAGGCTAGACACCTGGAGCAGAGCTGCAGAGGATGGAGAGCCCTGCTGCTGTCTGTGCAGGATCGCAGAGGGTGAGCAGCCTTGAAGATTCTGAGTGCTGGCCTTGAAGGCGCGTTGTCAGATGGGGAGGCCATGAAGATGCTGGGGGTGGACGGCTGGAAGGAGACATGAGAGCAGATTGCAAACTGGTTGTTTCCCTGCTCCCTGCTTTGTAGACATACAATTTTTTGGCTATCATAGTGTCAGGAACTCAAAAAAAAAAAAAAAAAAAAAATCTGTTGCCAGAGTTTTAAAATTGGAAGTGTTTTCTTTAAACATACATTTAATATAAATTGAACTAATGTAAACTAAACTTACTTTAAAATTGAGACACCTGGTAACAATCTTGAACTCTTATGTTCACCTTTGAGTATGAACTCTGTTTTTATTTTGCTGTAATACAATTCACACCACTCACTGTCACAGTCCCCCACACTGAGACCATTTATCATATTTATGTAATGTTTTCTTTTGGTGTAGTTAAGGGAAAAGTGAAATACTTTCCAAGCTTTCATTCCTACTACACCATGGCAAAAAAAAAAAAAAAAAAAAGGGGGGGGCGGGATAGATAAAGAAGGTTTTTTAGGAAAAAATTTCGTGTGCCCTGACCAGCTCCACTCCTTACCAGTTGGCTTCCATAGGCCTTTACATTTTGTGACTTTGGTTAGACTGAACTTGACAGAGCACATTGAAGAGGATGTGTGGGTAAGAGCCACAGATTAATGTAAGGCCTGTGTTGTGCTGTTTAGAGACATATGTTATGCACATATGTGTCTGTGTATCTACAGTTCCAGTCACTCATTTGATTTTGAGTAATGTACAGATTATTTTTATTTTTATGAGACAAGGTAGCATAGTCCAGCTGGCTTCTAGCCTGCCATCCTTCTTCCTTAGCCTCATAAATGCTGGGGTCATAGGCATGTGCCATTATACCTGGTTCAGACTTGTAAACAAAAAGCCCTCACAGATGCTCAGTGTTCACACATAAACTTATATATGAAGTTCTTCCGGCAGAGCTTTGATATACCCATAAATCAAAACATTTGTGTGTGAAACATAAACTCAAGGTTACAAATGCAGTAAATCCAAGTACATTTAAGTTACATGATAAATGCTATTCTGCTGAACTGAACTGAGGCTCTTCTGTGTGAATATGTTGACTTTAGCAAGTCTGGTCAACTAACTGCATATAGGCTATTCCAACTGATATTTTTTGCTAATTACTACAAAATTATGTCACTTTGATGCCCTTTACTTGGTACAGGGAACCATTTGCATGATAATTCTGCTTGTGTTTTCTTCTTGACCAATTGGTTCCATTGTGCTCACATGTTCACAAGTGACAACACTGAATTTGCCCAGGAGAATTTGCTTATTTTACATTTTAAAGGATTATTTTCTCAAAGAAATCACATAACGGAGCACTTCTTATAAAGAACTCCTAGATCCTCAAATATATGAGTATATTCTAATTTGGAGAACAATATGTATATTTCATAGAGGGTAATTGGATGACTGCTATACAGGCTTTCTTTACTGTTTATATATAGCAGGCATGTTATTGATAGATAGGCACTGAAACTGATCTAGGTTTCCTTTCTTTTCAGAGACTGAGTTGAGCTTCAGATTCTCAGTGTATCTGCCACAGTTAGTCTTTCAGGGCTGAACTTAAACTTATTTGCTAGGAAGGTGGGATGCTCAACCTGTGGCTTGCAACCTTACTAGGGTCTCAATCTGATTTTTACATTACAATTCATAACAGTAGGAAAATTACAGTTATGAAGTAGCAATGAAATAATTTTGTGGTTGGGGTCACCACCATGAGGAACTGTGTTAAAGGGTCGAAGCATTGGGAAGGTTGAGAACCACTGCTTTAGATTTTGGAGAATTTTTTTCTTTCCAGCTTTAGTTGTTCAGCTTCATCAGGAAGCAATGTGAAAGATTTTGTTTGTTTGTTTAGTTGGTTGGTTGGCTTTGGTTATTTTAAGACTAGACTACTCTGGGTAGCCGTGGCTATCCTGGAACTTGGTCTGTAGACCAGACTGGCCTTGGAACTTGGAGATTCTCCTGCCTCTGCCTCCTGAGTACTGGAATGAAAGGATGCCTGGCTAGTAGTGAGAAAGTTTTGAGAAGGGAGTACTCGGAAGATTTGTCCATGGTGGTACCTGGGATTTCCTGGAAGGAGGAAAGTGGAGGCAGGTCTGCCTGGGAAGAGTGCTGTGTTTCCATCATTTCTGTGTTGTTTGTGAGTTGGGTGCTACCTGTGGGGTTAATGGACTGTTTATGACATGTGTGTGTGATGGAGGTAAAGACAGGTGTTCCCTTTGACAGTCTCCTTAGTGTGCTTACAAATGCTGTGTCTGTAGTGTGTGCCTTGGTTATTATGGTTATTTGGGATGCCATATCAGGCAAGCAACAGAGTCTTCTAATAGACGTTAGGATCTAGAGAGGAAGATATTTAAGAAGTAAAATCCATTTTGGTGATTGTTATAAAAAGGCAGTGGCTGAAGCCCTGGGCATGTATAGTCGAAAGTCCATGCCACTTCTCATGGGCTGAAGTAGAAGAAGGGGTATAGGGAAGGAATGCGGGGGGATCTGTGTGTGGGAAGGGAGTGTACTTCAGGCGGAGTCCTAAGGTCCAGCAGGAGGATTAGAAGGGAGATTTGAGATGCTGGAGACTTCACAGGTTGTAGAGATGAGACTTGGGGCTTGATCCTAAGAACAATAGTAGGTCATTAAAGAGGTCAGACCTGGATTGATCTGCAACTTAAAAGGATCCCTTGAGCTCCAGGGTAGTGGCTGGAATCTAGGAGACTACAGTAGAGAAGCTGTTTGGAGGTAGTAACAGTAAGTTAAGGTCAGGCAGGGAGTTGGTGGCATTGACTAGGGTGAGGGTGAGCCAAGCAATACTTAGAAAGTGTGAGGAGTTCGGAGAAGTGAGGATGGTGAGAGAGGGAGGGTCTAGATGATACCCAGGCTTCAGGTGCCTCAGGCCCTTCATGGAGAAATCTCTGGCAGCAGGACATGAGGGCCTTCGAGGCAGGGAAGGCATGTTCCAGCAGGCATTGGTTCGTATGGGCCTGGGGCTCAGGAAGGCAGGATGGGTGATGATACAAATTTGGGGCTCTTTGGAGTTTAGCCACAGGAGATTTGGCTGCTTGGGAAGAGTTTAGAGGCCACATCCTTCAGGGAGGGAGATGTAGGTCAGGTGGCAGGCGGCTTGCACTGAATGCTCCAGGTCCTGAGTTTGGTCTCCAGCAATACCAGGTGTGATAGCTCATACCTGAAATCCCAGCACTTGGGAAGTTGAGGCAGGAGGATGAGAAATGTAAAGTTATCCTTAGCTACATAGGAAGTTTGAGGTCAGCCTACCCTATCTGAAACAAAAGAAACCCCCACCAAAAAACCCCTACAAACTGACTGTCCGTCTACACCCTATTTTTGGTTCTCTGACATGATTTTATTTTGCTTTCTTGGCCCAAAATATGTGGTGTGTTTTGTGTGTGTGTGTGTGTGTGTGTGTCTGTCTGTCTGTCTGTCTGTCTGTCTCTCTGTGCGTGTATGTGTGTGTCTGTGTGTCTGTGTCTGTATGCTTGTGTCTGTTTCAGATGGGCCAGCAATGAGCACTATGATTGTACATTAAAGTCTAGCCTCTGAATTTTGGAAAATGAGATCACTTAGCAACATCCTTCTTACATTTCTTTTTATATTAAAATATTTATTTATATTTTTATTTTATGTATATGAGTGTTTTGTCTACATGTATGAAAGTGTACCATATGGGTGTCTGGTGCTTATGAGGCAGAAGAAGGTGCTAGATCCCCTGGAATTGGAGTTAGGGATGGTTATAAGCTGCCACGTTGGTGCTGTGTACCTAACTGGATCCTCTGCAAGAGCTGGAAGTGCTCTTACGTTCTGAGCCATCTCTCCAGCTCCTCCTTTTACATTTTTTCACATTTTGTATGCAGGGGAGGTATATACTGCACACGTTTGTGAAGATCAGAGGACTACGGGCAGGGTCAGGTCTCTCCTTCACCACATGGGTCCTGAGGGTCCAACTTACATCATCATGCCTGGCAGCAAGTGCCTTTGCCTACCAAGTCATGTCCCTGGCCTTTTCATCATATTTCCAAAAGCATGGCAGCAATAGTCTGGTGTTATGAGCAGTTTTCCTGCCAGCCTGGTCCCAGAGCCTGCCAGCCCCAAATAACACACAGAGACACTGTATTAGATATAAAGCTGTTGGTCTGTTATTAGCATTACTTATTGGCTAGC